AGTCCTGGGTGTTCATTGGAAGGACTGATGTTGAAGCTGAAACTCCAATACTTTGGCCACCTGATGCAAAGAGCTGACTCATTGGAAAAGACCCTGATGCTGGGAAAGATTGAAGGCAGGAGGAGAAGGGGATGACAGGATGAGATTGTTGGATGGCATCACCGACTCAATGGACATGAGTTTGCGTAAACTCTGGGAGTTGGTGATAGACTGGCTGGGAGGCCTGGCGTGCTTCGGTCCGTGGGGTCACAAAGAGTCGGACACGACTGAGCGACTGAACTGAACTGAACTAGGTTTCCTCTCTCCCCCTCCCCTTTCCTCTCCTGTCCCCCATCTACCTTTCTCCCTTCCCCCTCTTCCTCCACCACCTCTCCCCCTTCTTCCTTTCCCCTTCCTCCTCCTCCCCTTCCACTTCTTCCCCTTCTCCCCCTCCTCTTCCTTCTTCTCCTTCTCCTCCTCCTTCTTCTTACCCCCAACTTTGCCAATCTTTCTTGACTAAGTAAACCAGAATATGTAAATGTGTCAAGTGCCTGGCACAGAGGAGAAAGTCAACAATAACCAGTACGGCAGTGTAAGTTCATGGTTATGGCTGAGGACTCTGGAATCCAACAGAGGCAAAATGTGGCGACGACAGGTGGCTGCAGATTCTTTGGCACTCCTCTAGAGGCCAAGTCTGTGTCCCCTCTGCTGGGTCTGGCTGGGCTCTCTGATTGCCCTGGAGTCATGCTCTCCCAAGCCTCAGGCAGCTTCCACTGACTTCCTCAGAACTCTGTGAGCCCTGAGCTGCCTTGTCAAAGTGCAGCTACCACAAAATAGCTGTGGAGAGATCATACCTGTTCCCTCCAGGTGACAGTCACAACTGAGCAGCCCAGCCTCCTGGCCAAGGCATGTAAGAGCCCTCCTGATGAGCCCCTTTGCAAGCTGATTACCACCAGGTGACCCCAGTCAACATCACAAGGAATGGTTGGTTGTTGTTTTAAGCTGTCAAATGTTGGGGTGATTTACTACATGCAGTATATCACTGGAGCACCAGGGTTCGAGCCCTCCTTGACCACTTGCTAACCAGATATTTGATCTTTACTACCTCTGCAAGCTTCTATCCCTTACTTAAAATGGATATGGTTGTCCCTATCTGGCAGAATCTTAGTGAAGATTAAACGAAGTGACTCTGGCAAAGTGCTCAGGACAGTGCCTAGAACATAGTAAGTACTCCAAAATGCTATTACTAGTATGATTCCTTTCACAGACTTGGCTGGCAAGATAACAAATAAGGTGCAAATGGAAGAAAGCTCTCTCAGACCCTGTATTTTTGAAGGAAACAGGTCCTGAGCAGCTGCCTGCTTTTCCCAAGAATAGAATTGTCTTAATCATACTTAATCCTCTTCTCAGGAGAGCATTTAAAATTGGAACAGTTGTTTATTTGATTTCCTCTGAAAGAGTTGCCCTAATGAAGCCATGTAGTTTGCAAGGGAATTAAGAGGCTCTTCAGCATCCTGCGGTCACTCTTCTCGGCTGTATGATGTGTTAGCACACATACATGGGGTTGTTGGCACAGCCATCTTCTTGTTTTCCTCCCGCCCTTTGCTCCATCAACTTTCTTTTGAGAGGTACAGTCTCTAGTCACCATCTGGTTCTGGGTGGCCACCTGGGACATTTGTCTTGGTCTGAAGCCCGGGACCTTACCACCCCATGGCTGTGCCTACTTCCCATAGCCGAGGCTCCTGGATCAACTCACAGCTTGCCTTGGCTTCCTTTTACTGCTGACTCTAAATCTGAGAGACAAAAGGTGTAACATCAGGTTGTTTTGCCTGAAATATGAAACCATGTTGTTTCAGAGGAGAAGTTGGGAGCTTGATATGTGGGAGTCTGGGAGTGAGGTGGTAGCAACAAGTAGAATATTGTAGGAAAAACACTGTGAGCATTGGGGCCATCCATTTAATCAATATCTTGTGAGCATGACAAGTGCTGCCAGGCACCAGGCTAGACATTGTTCTAGAAATTTGTGGGTCTGATGCTCAACTCCTCCAACCAAAATTTATCTGACTCCATCATAACGGCTAGAACAAAAGTGAGAGTCAATCCCAAATCTTTAATGTGTATTTATTTATTTATAGTTTTGGCTACACCACCCAGCATGTGGGATCATCGAACCCATACCCCTGCATTGGAAGCATGGAGTCTTAACCACTGGACCACCTGGGAAGTCCTGCAATCCCAAATTGAATGAGGCAATAAAGCAACTGGAACCCTTCTATGCCATGGGTAGGTGGGTATGTGGGTAGGTGGGTTATGGTGGATATGTGGATGAGCCCAAACACTTAGGAAAGCATACTCTACCAGAGTTAAACCTTTCACTCTGAAGTACAGGCTGACAAAAGTAAACCTCCGTGCACCAGAAGACACCTTCAAGAATGGCCATGACCTCACCATTTGTAAGAGCCACCAGCAGGCAATAACCCAAAAGCTTGTCAGTTTGGAAATCCACACCGTGGATTATTACCCTGGAATGAGGATGAACAGACTAGTGCCACACAGGGCAATGTGGGTGAACCTCACTGCCAGGACGTTGTAGGAAATTTTGGACAAGAATGACTATTGACCGCACAATTCCATTTCTGTGCATTTTAGAATAAGCACAATTAGTTTATGGTATAAATCAGAGTATAGGTTGTCCTTGGGGATTAGTAGGTGGGAGGACCAAGAGGGGGCTCCTGGGGGCCTAGTAATGATGTTCTGCTTTTTGATCTAAATTCTGCTTACATGGAAGTGTTCGCTTCATGAAATCCATCCCCCTGGTTACTTATAATATGTATATTTTTCTGATGATGATTTAATAACACATTAGCCAACCTTGATCAAATTGTTTTGCCTCTTCCAGCTTGGTTTCCTTATCTATAAAACAATGGATAATACAGCCTTCATCTTCAGAGCTATCTATCGTTATACTGAGATTTAGTGGATGTGAGCATTATAGTGAAAACCTTAAAACACATGAGGTGCTTCATAAATGATGGCTATGATTCTTGTTATTTCTGTTACTAATAATTTTTCTTAGGCTTAGATTTCTCTGAATGTCTAATTAAAAAAAAAAATCTGGGGAAAATGTCATCATTCTTCAGGTGAGAAGGAAATTAAAAAAACAAAACAGCCCTAACAAAGGCCTTTCCATGGATTGATGTTATTTTGTGATAGGTGTCAATTCACCACAGAAGATGAGAAATAGCTCCCTGTTTTAAACATGCTTCTTTTCTTTCTATGATCCTCAAAACCCCTTTCCTAAATGCACTCTGAGTGTGAAACTTTGGAGAGAGAATGTCAAAGCACCCGGAAGAAACTCCACCCCCTGCCCCCTACCCTGCCCTGTCCTTTTTCCACACATTTTTGAGAACGTGACTTAGAGCAGATTTTTCAATTCCTCAGGAGCCAAAAAATTGTTGTGATAAAGTTGATACTCCTGGGCCTGCCTTTTCCCTTGGTGTCACGGGACCATGGGTCGTGAAAGGGTTTAGTGGTGCAGGCCATGCTCTTCTGTGGTCTAAATGAGATCTGCAGTCCCTGGAGAAACACCCCAGGCTTGGCTGCTGGGAGCAAGTCCACAACTTTTACCTTCTGGATATTACATTTCATCAACTTACAAAGTGTAATCCTGGAATTAGCTATTGGTGGCTGGAAACAGCCCCAGCTGGTCACAGCTGGGAGAGGAGAAGGGCCTTGGAGGGAGGCCTGGGTTCTGGGTAGCTGTGATACCCAGAGAAGCATCTGTGCTGGTCCTCAGGCCTCACTGTGAAGGGGTGGAGCTGGTTCCAGACCTTTCCCTTGCCCACTAGAGACATGCCAGGTTGAGGGCCAGGTTCTAGGATAGAGATGCCTAGATGTTTCACTGATACACTTTGGCAGTCATGACTCCAAGGTCCAGGCAAGTCTAATGTGATTTAGTCACAGTGAGAAATGCCTCTTTGCCCTCAGGGACACCAACTGTCTTACTCTTCCTTAGAGAGATGTGACTCTGGAGGCCTCACCTCTACCACCTTGAGAATCTGCTATGCGGGCTCTCAGCTCTCCCTCCCCACACAAAAGGAAGACACAGTAACCCAGCACATACCCAGCTGTGTTTGGAGGGTTGGCGAGAAACCAGGATTGTTATGTTTTGTGGGTGATGTGTTGTTTCTGGAGGCAATTTGATAGTATCAATTAAGTCTTTAAAAAGTGTAGCCCTTCTGTTCTTAGAAACTTACCCTAAGGAGTTTTGACTAAAGTATAAAAGCTATTTAGTGATATTTCATTCCATTAAGTATTTGGTAAGTGCCTGGTAAGTGACCAAGACTTAGCTGGTGCCTGGTGCTCTGCTAAGACCTCACATGTGTACCCTCAGAGACTGCGCAGGGTGAGCCCCTGAGAGGACACCGTCACTGTTCTCACTTGGTAGCCAGGACACCAAGACCCATCGAGGTTCACTGGCTGCCCAAAGTCACAGAGCTGATGGGCAGTGGAACCAGGTTTGACTTGAGAGTTTTAGCATCGCAGGTGAGGCCGACACTGATCGAAATCTAGACATGTTCACTGTTACTAAAGGAAAAGTGCGTGGCTACCTGCAACTCAAATATCCCTGTGTGGTTGATCATCTGTCCAGCCAGAAAGGAAATAATCTAAATGTCTGACAGTTAGGATTTGGCTAAGTCTGTATTATGTCCATGCTTAGGAATACTGAGCAGCATTGAAATGAATGTTACGTGACTATGCTTACTCACATAGCAAGATGTTCCCATCACATTATTAAAGGCAAAAGAATGGTCATGGTTAAAGAAAAAAAATTTTTTTTCTGTGCTTGTATGTGGGGGGGACATAGAAACAACACATTACTCGTTGGTTTCTCTGGGCTCTGGGATTGTAGCTCAGCTGGTGAAGAATCCTCCTGCAATGCAGGAGACCCCAGTTAGATTCCTGGGTCAGGAAGATCCACTGGGAAATGGATAGGCTACCCACTCTAGTATTCTTGGGCTTCCCTGGTGGCTAGGCTGGTAAAGAATCTGCCTGCAATGCGGGAAACCTGGGTTCAATCCCTAGGTTGGGAAGATCCCCTGGAGAAAGGAACATTATGTTTTGTGGGTGATGTGTTGTTTCTGGAGGCAATTTGATAGTATCAATTAAGTCTTTAAAAAGTGTAGCCCTTCTGTTCTTAGAAACTTACCCTAAGGAGTTTTGACTAAAGTATAAAAGCTATTTAGTGATATTTCATTCCATTAAGTATTTGGTAAGTGCCTGGTAAGTGACCAAGACTTAGCTGGTGCCTGGTGCTCTGCTAAGACCTCACATGTGTACCCTCAGAGACTGCGCAGGGTGAGCCCCTGAGAGGACACCGTCACTGTTCTCACTTGGTAGCCAGGACACCAAGACCCATCGAGGTTCACTGGCTGCCCAAAGTCACAGAGCTGATGGGCAGTGGAACCAGGTTTGACTTGAGAGTTTTAGCATCGCAGGTGAGGCCGACATTGATCGAAATCTAGACATGTTCACTGTTACTAAAGGAAAAGTGCGTGGCTACCTGCAACTCAAATATCCCTGTGTGGTTGATCATCTGTCCAGCCAGAAAGGAAATAATCTAAATGTCTGACAGTTAGGATTTGGCTAAGTCTGTATTATGTCCATGCTTAGGAATACTGAGCAGCATTGAAATGAATGTTACGTGACTATGCTTACTCACATAGCAAGATGTTCCCATCACATTATTAAAGGCAAAAGAATGGTCATGGTTAAAGAAAAAAAATTTTTTTTCTGTGCTTGTATGTGGGGGGGACATAGAAACAACACATTACTCGTTGGTTTCTCTGGGCTCTGGGATTGTAGCTCAGCTGGTGAAGAATCCTCCTGCAATGCAGGAGACCCCAGTTAGATTCCTGGGTCAGGAAGATCCACTGGGAAATGGATAGGCTACCCACTCTAGTATTCTTGGGCTTCCCTGGTGGCTAGGCTGGTAAAGAATCTGCCTGCAATGCGGGAAACCTGGGTTCAATCCCTAGGTTGGGAAGATCCCCTGGAGAAAGGAACGGCTACCCACTCCAGTATTCTGGCCTGGAGAATTCCATAGACCGTATAATCCATGGGGTCTTAAAAAGTAGGACACGACTGAGTGACTCTCACTTTCACTTTTCTCTGGGTTCTGGGATTCTTTATAGTTTTTTTTTTCTTTCTTTCCATCTTTCTGATTTTGAAGGATAATTAGCATATCTTACAGGTCTAATTAGAATAACAAGCAGTTTCCATTTGAGGGCAAAATAGCTGCTGCCTCTTCAGACAAAAAGATGGCCTGGTAGACCCAAAGAAGCTTACTCCTTGCTTTTTAACAAAAGGAAAGGAGTTGACTGCACCTGGTAGAGACTCATCTGTGTACCTGTAAAGCTGAAGTCCTCAAAGTGGGGCCCAGGGATCTTCTGCAGCTGAATCGCCCAGGGTTGCTTATTAAACGGCAGCTTCCTAGGCTGTACCCTGATAATAGCAACTCACATTTACTGAACATGTATTATGTGCTGGCCACTATTCTAAGTGCTTTTTTCACTTCCTAACTCATTTTAGCCTCATAAACCCTAGGGTATGTACATGACCATACCCACTTCCCTGGTGAGAAAGCCGAGGCACAGAGAGGCTGACTGGTGTGGACTGAGAGAGCTGCTGGGTGGTGGAGGGGCCTCCAGGCCTCCTGGTCTTGGCTCCGAGCCCAAACTCGCAGTCACTCCCCTGGGGAGTGGGGCTCAGGAGTCTGGATTTTTAACAAGCTCCCAGGGGACCCCTGAGCACATCTAAGGAATCTTTTATCTTAGAGCCACTTGCATTGTTTTGGATTAAGAAACAGCTGATCCATTGACTCCACATCAGTCGTGAAAGACTTTGTCTCCTTGAAGTCATTAGAACAAAAATGTCTATCAGAGATTCTTGGCTGTAGGCGAGTCATCAGGCGGGAAAGGCAGACGAGTCTTGACAACCCACTAGCCTAATTGTCAGTCCCACTTCCTGCGTTCCCTTCTTTCAAACACATTTTTATTCAGAGCCCTCTTCTGAAACTTTCAGGATCTTAGCTGTTTTCTCTCAAGTTGGAATATGAGGGAGCTGTCTATGTGGGATGCAGAGCCCCCACAAGGACGCCTTCCTCTGGGGACCCTGCAACAACCTTGGAACACCATGTGGAAAGTCAGCGAGGCTGGGCAGCAGAAGCTAAGGTTGCCCACGTGCTCTCAGACTGTTTCCTGACTTCTACTTTTAAAGACTAA